AAGGCATGTTTACAAAAGAGGAAAAGGCTAACCTGGATACTTTTTATAGTTTTAGAAACTGCTTTGAGGCCTAAGGAATAGTGTAAAAAAGTAAAGTCTTTCCTACTGGGTAATTCCAACTGAAACAAACACAAAACTAGTTAGCTATATACCTCATTTCCCCTAGCTGTGAAAAGCATACCTGTTAAAATTAGGTTGCCAAGCCCTCATTTTGAGCTGTGCCTACAGTGCTTTCTATTTTACCCCTTCAAAATTTCTACTGAGTAATGACTTGACTGAACTCCCCCACCCTCATACCCTCCACTCTCCTCAATGGGCATAAGGAGAACTGAATACATACAATGCTGAAAAAAATAGAAAGAAGGAAATTATAGATAGAGGGGGAACTCAGAAGAATAGAGACAATTAAGAAACTATCTGGTATACCTGGTGAAGTGATTCCGTTATAAGACTGAAAGGGCCTGCAATATAAATCCCAGCTGTCACCTCTACGTCTTAGGGAGTTTCCATGTGGTCGAGCTTCCATCCAATTCAAAACCCATTGCTGAAAGGCGCCAGGTCACCAAAGCTGTCCTGACCTGACGGTCTCACACGATCAACCCGAGTGGTGGTGGAAGAGGGAGAGATACTAATAGAGCTGGACCTGGTATCACACTGAACAGAAAGGAAGGAGTAGCTAATAAGACCAAGGGAAAGTATGAGCACAAGTCCAGCCCAAATGACCACTCGATAAACCAGAAGAGTGATAAAAAAGGGAAAAGAAGCAAACAATCTTGATAAGGGGAAATACAATAATTACTTTTGAAATGGAGACGTCAAGTATTTATTAAATGCCTTACATGTGCTAAGTACTGTGACAAAGACTAGGAACATAAGTAAAGGCAAAAGTCTCTGTCTTCAAGGAGCTCCCAGTCCAACAGTGGGAAACAACATGTAAACAATTATGTAAAAACAAGACCTATACAAGATAAATTAGAGATAATCTTACAGGAAGGCACTAACATTAAGGAAGATTGGGAAAGACAACTTGAAGAAATTGGGACTTGAAATTCTCTAATGAAAGAGAAAACAAAGCAATATTTCCACAGGATGCTCTAGAAATAATGGAATTAATAGCAATAAATCCCAGAATGGTTCAGAAAGAAATACATTTTTAAAAACAAGGATAGTCATTAAAGTATACATTAGAAGAGAATTGGGGATTGGCAAAGGAGAAATAAAAAAGATAAATGTAACTATAAAGATTTTTTTTTACATATAGGTCCTTTCCCTTTTTCTTTGATCTCTTTGGGATATAGACCTAGTAGTGGCATTGCTGGGTCAAAAGTATGCACAGTTTTATGCCACTTTGAGCATAGTTCCAGATTATTCTCCAGAATGGTTGGACCAGTTCACAATTCCACCCACAGTGCATTAGTGCACCTATTTTTCCACATTTCCTCCAGTATTTGTCATTTTCCTTTTCTGTCATGTTAGTCAGTCTGACAGGTGTGAGATGGAACCTCAAGTTGTTTTAATTTGCATTTCTCTATTAATGATTTAGAACATTTTTTTCACACAACTATTGATAGGTTTGATTCCTTCTTCTGAAAGCTGCCTGTTTATATAATTTGACCATTTATTAGTTAGGGAATGGCTCTTATTTTACAAATTTGGCTCAACTCCTTATAGGTTTGAGAAATGATGTCTTTATAGGAGAAACTGGCTTGTACTTCATTATTTATGGTCCCTTTTATAGCAAAATGTAATTTCCATGAGTATCTCTTTTAATTAGGTCTATTTTTGCTTTTGATTTGTCTGAAATAATGATTGCTACCCTTGCCTTTTTTTACTTCAGCAGAAGCATAATAGATTTTGCTCCCTTATTTTAACTCTATGTGTGTCTTTCTGTTCCAAGTGTATTTTGATAAACAACATATTGTTGGATTCTTATTTCTAATCCATTCTGCTATCTGCTACTATTTTGTGGGTGAATTCATCCCATTCACATTCACAGTTAGAATAACTAACTATGTATTTCCTTTTATCCTATTTTCTTCTATTTATCCTTGTCCTCTTTTTTGACCCTGTCCTTCCTCAAAAGTATATTTTCCTTATGACCACTGCCTCCCTTAATCTGCCCTTCCTCTTATCATTCCTCCTTTCTCTTAACCCTTTCCCCTCCTATTTCCCTATTCAGTAAGATAGATTTCTTCCCAAATGAATGTGTATGTATATTTTTTTCTTTCCTCTTTGAACCAATTCAGATGAGAATGAGGTTCAAGTGTTGCCTGCCCCGCTCCTTTCCCCCCTCCACTGTAAAAACTCTACATGCCTCTTTTATGTGGGAAAAATTTCTGCCTTCTTCCTCTCCCTTCTCCCTTCTTTCTCACCTACCCATTTTTTGAGATCATCATGCCCATGCCTTCTGTCTATATAGATTCCTTCCATATGCCATAATAATGACAAACCTTTTTGGAGTTACATTATTATCTTCCTATATAGGAATGTAAATAATTTAACCTAATCCAGTCCCTTATGATTTCTTTTCCATGTTTACCTTTTTATGCTTCTCTTGAGTCTTGTGTTGGAATGCCAAATTTTCTATTCAGCTCTGGTCTTTTCATAAGAAATAGTTGAAAGCCCTTTATTTCATTAAATATTCATTCTCCCCTTAAAGAGGAATGTTTTACTTGTTTTTTTACTTTACTTGTTCCAGTTTTACTTGCAAGGTTATACTTGGTTGTAATCCTAGCTTCTTTTCCTTCTGGAATATCATTTTCTAAACCTTCCACTCTTTAAAGTGGTAGTTGCTAAATCTTGTGCAATCTTAACTGTGGCTCCACGTTATTTGAGTAATTTTTACTAGTGGGAGCTCTGGGATTTGACTATAGTATATCTTAGAGTTTTCGTTTTGAGGTTTCTTTCAGGAGGTGATTATTGGATTGTCTACTTTGCCCTCTGGTTCTACGATATCTGGGCAGTTTTCCCTTATAATTTCTTGAAATATGATGTCTATGTTTTTTATCATGATTTTCAGGTACTCTAATCATTTATCTCTTCTTTATCTATTTTCTAGGTCAATTGTTTTTCCATTTCATATTTTCTTCTATTTGTTTCATTCTTTTGACTTTGTTTTATTGTTTCTTGATGTTTGTGGCCATTAGTGTCCACTTGGATGATTCTAATTTTTAAGGAATTATTTTCTTCAGTGAGCTTTTTGACCTCCTTTCCCATTTTGCCAGTTCTGATTTTTAAGGAAGTTTTTTTTCCAGTATTTTTGTGCCTTTTTCACCAAGCTATTAATTCTCTTTTCACAATTTTCTTGCATTGCTCTCATTTCTTTTCCCAATTTTCTCTACTTCTCTTATTTGATTTTTAAAACAATTATTCTTTTTTATTTATTACTTTAGCTCTTTTAGGAATTCTTGTTGGGTTTGTGTCCAATCTGCATTTTTTTCCTTTGAGCCTTTGCTTGTAGATGATTTCAAATTGTTGTCTTCTTCTGAGTTTGTGTCTTGAGCTTCTGTATCACCATAGTAGCATTTTATGATCAGGTTCTTTTTTTCTTTGTTTACTCATTGTTCCAGCCTATTTCTTGCCTTTAAACTTTATGCTAGAGTTGAGCTTTACTTACCTAGGGCGTGGAGGGGTGTACTGTCCAAAGCTTTAGGCTTTTTCATCCTGCTGTATTCACAGCTAGTTCCGGTGCTTTGTAAGTTTTTGGTACTTCCAAGGGGTTATGATCTGGGGAGAGGTGGGGTCACTGGTCTCCTGGTCTTCATTCTAATGCTTACCCAAGAAGAACCCCTGCTTTCGTGTGACCAAAAATATTAGTGCTACTCTTCCTGCCCTGGAAATGCTACCAGGAACTAGGGCCCTGCTCTCTCTTCTCCCTGAAATTGTGACCTGGGATAGGATGATGGGCAATGGAGTTGCTTCCTCTCTGTCTTTACCTCCTGAATTCCTTTCCATCTTGTAAAGACCAAATCAGATGCCAGCTCCTCAATTTAGTTCTCCCTAATCCCCTCATTGGCAATGACCTTTTTTTCATGAGCCATACATTGAACTTTGTTTTTGCAACTCTCTAAGGCACCTATCATACAATATTGTATATTACAGTTATCTTTGTATGAGTCACATTCTTCTTCTGAGCTGTAGCTTCCATGAAGACAGGAGCTGTGGTTTAGCTAAATTTTAGATCTCCCCCACTGCCCAGTACAGTATGCTTCACAAAGCAGGTGCTTCATAAATGCTAAAGAAATGAATTCTTCAAGGACCGAGTCAAATGCTACCATTTGATGAACATTTCCCTGATACCCAAAATCAACATTCTTTCCAACCTTACAAGGATATGTATATGTATATATATATGTTTGTGTGTGTGATGTGTGTGTATATATATACACACATATATACATATATGTGTATATATACATTTATATATGTATATGTATTTATATAGTATTATGTATGTGTATATATATATTGTGTCCATGTATGTGTGTTAGTACTTTGTAACCCACTTATTTTCTTTTTGTACCCTATTGTATTTTGCACCATAACTTGTATAATCATAATACATTTGCATGTTACGTTATCCTTCCCATATTTTACACTCTTTATAGACAAAGTTGTCTAAATCATCTTTGTATCTTTCTACTTCTGCCATCACCACAGTGCTCTGCACACAGTAGGTACTTAATAGATGATTGTTGAATTGAGCTGTTGAACAAAGTTTAGGAACCATTTATATATAAAACTAAATTATGTTACTTCGTTGGAACAAACCACCCTTTGTACTAGTACTTGCTTAAACAAGGTCATGTTTCTATGACTGTGAAAAGTTATGATATTCACCACAGGTAATGGCATAAAGCTTTTTAAGATCAGCAACATGCAAAGGGCACATTCAAATAAGAGCTGTATACACTCCCTCTATAGTGCATTATAATGAAAAGATTTAACTTGAAGTCTACAGAAGGTGAAAATTATGTATTCTACAGGAAGTTCAAACTCACCATAGTAAGCATGGATAGGAATCACGTTAATCCTCTAGACATGGAGAATAAAAAGAAAAAAGCAACATTAAGTATTACATGGTACTCTGAATGTAAACTTATCCATAACAAAACAAAATAAATACAACTACTACAAAGACTTGCCTTGTTTTTCTCTATAGTGGGACAAAGGAATCTCAGAACATATCCATGTTTAACAAATAATTGTGCTTTAAGAGGAAAGAAAATGTTTTTAATTTAAAGTTAAATGTAATGTGCATAACCATCAATACTTCAAAGCAGTGGAGTGGATCTGCAAATTACAACCTTTCTGTTTAAGGGGGGAAAATACTTTCTGTCTGCATTTGGGAAAAATCATATGTCAAGTACAAGGCTATTCAATCTACACAAGCATAAAGAATACAAATTTGGGACTTTTCTATATTGGAACTCAAGAAAATGTTAACGATGAGAAGTTGTTGAGACTGAAAAAAAAAAGGTTGTAGTCAATTCTGTAAGACTATAAATTTCAGACAAAGTGTCAGTCTCCAGGGGTGAAGGGAGTTTCCTTACTGTGAGTTCTCTATACCAATGAAATCAACGATTTCAATCCAGTTGTGACACTTTATTACAAATCATACATCTAAAAGCATATTTTTCTGAATTTCAAAAATACATGCTTCCATATATTTCCAACAGGACATCTTCTTCAATGTTACTTCTGTGCTCTTGAAAAGGCAGATTTTACTGCAGTTATCAAAACAACTTTATCATTTTCTTACCTTTTTCTGCAAGTATTTCATTTTGCTCAGCATCAGTTTCTTGGTATCATACTATTACAGCATCAGTAACATTGGCAGAGATTTAAGAGCACTTTAGTTGTTTAGCCCAAAGTTTTAGATTTATCAGTAAGCTATTCCCTAAGAGGTATTTAATAGCTAAACTAGAAGAACAAAGGAGCTCCTTTTCCTCACTAAGGATTTCTATTTCTGCCTTCCAACCTACCATGGCAGAACATTTACCCAAATAATGTTCTACCTCTCTTAGTCCGATAATTCTAAGACAATTGGTTGAGCAGTTGCGTACTAAATTACTTTGCAAATAATTTGATTTGAAATTTAATTTCTTTTTGGCTGGCTGAATTCTAATTATTTTAGAAAAAACAAAATCGAACAAACATTTACTCCCATTTCTCTCTCTTCAATTTATGAATAGATCTGAGGGATTTGTTGCTGAAATCTACAGTATCTAACAGACCAAATGATGTCATTCATATTTTGATGGCATAAAATTAATCAAGTATTGCACACCCAGCAGATCTTTATTTAAACACAAAGATTAATAGCCCTTCTTCTATTGTTCCAGGAATCATGTTTAAACAGGCCTTTCAGCATAATGGATTTATTGGAAAGTCATAAAGGTTAGCTATCAAGTAGTCTTCTCCTATGTTCCTGAAGATTGGACAAATAAGCATGTGACACAACATAAACAAATAAACAAAGCTCAAAGCAAGTAAGAGTTTCACTTATTTCTAAGTACAGTTTGGGTTATACATTTCCTTTTTAGCAAAAGTGTAAAACAAGCCAACAGAACTAGTTTGTGACTGCAAATCTTTTACCTATTATTTAAGCCTTAAAAGGTTCTTATATAAGATGCATTTATAGTAATTTCCTCAAGAAAAAATGAACATAAGAATGATTTTATAAGATATCAATGGCTACAATTTTCTTTCCCAAAAGCAATTTTTTAGTTTTCTCTGCACTAAGGCTATATATCTATATGATGTCCTCATCTATAACTCCTACTATATAAAATGAGAAAGTTGGCCTCACTGATTTCTGAGATCACCTGCAGCTCTAACAGTCTATGATTCTGTGATCTAGCCCAAAAGTCAGTTGGAAAATTGGTGAAAACAAGTTTCTTGATACAGTATAAGACCTAAAAACTGGTTGAATTTTTTCAATCCAGATTTGGATTTAACATCTATATATACCCATATTTGGTCTACATAGAAATCAAATAACGGTCTTCAAGTATATCAAGTTATATTATAAAAGAATTCTGCATTTATTCATTGTGTTTCTATTATAATGATATGACTAAGGAGAATAGGTTAGTCCTACCAGAAAAAAAATATTAAATATAGGACAGCCTGTTTGTCTTGTTTTTCAAGGGAGGGGAAAGTGCTTAATTTGTATGTTATATCCTAGTGTCTTATGGAAACAAACTGAAAAATAATTAAGGTGGTCCAGTATCCATTAGACTAGTATTTACCTGAAGCATTTCTTACAAGTTTGGGGGAAAAAACCTAACAATTCAATTTTACAAGTATTTATTAAGTACCTACTATGTATAAGGCATTATGCTAAGTGTTGAGGATACACAGAGAACGAAAAATGAACTTACTTCATTATTTTTAAGCCAAACCTGTAATTTTGGACCAGCCTTGTAGAGAACTCCCAGTGAAGAAAGCTCTCCACCAATACAGACTAAGCACCTACTTTGTAATTTATAGTTCCCTAGGGGCAAAGCTGACTTCCTCCTTCTCACATCCTGCTTCTTCAACCTTTGGTTCTCTCATTTTCCCTAGATTCTGAACATTCTTAGAAAGTTGGGGTGGTACAGTGAAAAGGCTCTGGATTCAGAGGCAGAAGACTTGGGTTTGAAACCTGACCCTGCTGTTCATTAACTTTGTGGCCTAAGTAAATTAATTCTCTCAGGGCTTCATTGTCTTCTAGTACACAATGAGGAGGCGGGGCTACATGATCCTTGAGGTCCCTTGGAGTTTTAAATCTAGGGTACTATGATGGATCCCCAGTCCTGTCTACCTTATCCCTACCCATAGAGCAAAAGACACCAACCTGAGGCTGTGGAATAGAAGGCAACCCACAGTTTAATTCAACAAATCTTTCTTAAGTACCTATTATATACAAGGCACTGTACCAGGCATTGGAGACACAAAGATGAAAACTAACTGTTCTTTCCCCTAAGGAGCTTCCATTCTACTGGAGGAATACAGCATATGCACAAATACATAAATACAAGATAATTTGAATACAGAAGGAGGAGTAATAACTGAGAGATCAGAAAAAGGGTTGCTTAGGAGATGGTACCAGGGCTAATCCTTGAAGTGAACTAGGGATCATAAGAGGTAAAAAGAGAAGGATGTTATGGAGGGCAGAGTCAAAACGGTGGGGTGAAGGTTCACAACTCCCAAACTCCCCCCAAAACCTCTCCCACAATACAAGCACAGGAAATGACAAATCAAATTCTGAGCAGAAAAGTCAACGAAAAGTCAAAGTGAGTTGTTGTTCTAGCCCAGGGAAGTTAGATAGGTCTGCTGACGCTGGGATAGGGGTTAAATAGGAGTGAAGCGGCACCAGAAGTGAGCCTTGGAGGTAGCAGCTACAGCAACCACAGATGGGGCACCAGGCTTGCTCAACAGCCAGGGACAGTAAGGCAACTGAAAACCTGGTCAGAAAGAGATTCTAGGAGATCCTCATACTAGGACTAGGCACCAAATCTGGCACCATTTGGCAGCTCCAAATTACCCCGTTCCAGGTTGGGATTCTAGGGTGGAGAGGGGCAGTCACAGTCATAAAGAAGCAGGGGCACTACCTGTATAAGGGCCAGATTTCAGAGCCAGAAGGCAGTGACTAAACCTTTCCCCAGACCACAACACCTTGGAAGCATCAAACAGATAAAGAAAATGGAGTGTTGTGTTTGAGGACAGTAAGGCCTTAAAGGGGAAAAAATGCAACAAAAATGCAACAAGAATTCCTAGAAGAGTTACAAAAAGAGATCTTTTTAAAAGAGCAAAAAATGATTTTAAAAATCAAGTAAGAACAGTGGATGAAAATTGAGAAAAAGAAATGAAAGCAATGTAAGAAAATTATGAAAAGAGAATTTAATAGCTTGGTAAACGGGGCTCAAAAAATACTGAAGAAAAGAACACCATGAAGAATAGGCTTGGCCAAATGGCAGAAGAGATACAAAACCTCACTAAAGAAAAGAACTCCTTAAAAAGCAGAATGGACCAAATGGAAAAAAGAGGTTATAAAAACTCACTTAAAAAATAATTCCTTAAAAACTAGAATCAGTCCAGTGGAAGCTAACAACTCCATGAGACATCAAGAAGCAATAAAACAAAGTCAAAAAATAAAAAATAGAAATAGAAATATCTTATTGGAAAAAAAACTGACCCAGAAAATAGTTTGAGGGGGGATAATTTTTTAAAAAATTACTGGACAACTTGAGAGCCATGATTTTAAAAAGAGCCTAGACATCATGTTTCAAGAAATTATGAAGGAAAATTGCCCAATATCTTGAAACCAAACGCAAAATAGAAATTTAAGGAATTCACCAATCACCTCCAGAAAGAGATTCTAAAAAAATGTAAAATATCAAGTTTAATAGAAGAAATAGATTATTAAAATAACTAATATCAAAAACCAAAATGGAACAAACAATAAATGAGCTCCCAAAGAAAATAACTCCAGGATCAAATTAATTTAGAAGTGAAGTTTTATCAAACTGTTAAGAGAAAAGTTAATTCCACTATTAAATAAATGTTTTGGAAAAATAGAAACATAAAACACCTTTCCAATCTTTTTCTGTGATACAAAATATAGTCTCGTATCAGGGAGAGATAAAGCAGAGAAAACTATAGACATATCCCTAATGATGCAAAATTTTAAAATAAAATATTAGCAAAGAGTCTACAACAACATGTTAAGAAGATTATACACTGTTACCAGGTTAGAATAATACCAGTAATGTAATGTTAGTTTCACAAAGGGAAGATAACAAATATAACCAATTAAATTAAAAGGCAAATAATTATGTCAATTGTTGCTGAAAGGCTTTTGACAAAATCAAAACCTGTTTGTGTTTTTTAAAAGAAAAAAATTAGAAAGCACAGAAATAAATGGACTTTTCTTATTATAGTAAATAATATCTATCTATAATATTATGCATAGTATTATAAAATTATTAGAATAAATATTACAATGTAATGGAGAAAAGTTGGAGACTTTTCCCTAAAATTAGGATAAT